CATTTTTGTTTTTTCTTTTTTATATCATCAACATGTGTACTATTATTTTTATTTTTAATATAATTATTATTACCATTGAACAGCAGCAGGGCGAAGAGCAAGAAATGTAAACAGCAAAAGCTGTGGAAAATTTTAAAACAATTTATAGACAACAATTTCTCTCTATTGATGCATTTTTCTGGATTATTTATTATTTTTTTCTGTCTCTCTCTTCTCACATTTTCAGCTCACCGAAAAACAGATTATAGTTTTTAGAGCATAGGATAGAAGTATTTGGGACTGTTCGAGCGTAAAGCAGCCAAGCGATGTTCAATATTGTGATCAGTATGGAGAAATTTATTGGCCATATTCGACTTCATGAATTGTTTGCTTTGCGTTTTGCAATACTCCTATATTTTCAGAAGCTACCAAAAACAAATTCCATACACAAGAGGCACAAACACGCAGACAAATTAAATTAGCACAGCGCTAAATGATCACACGGTCGCTCTAACAAAAAAATTTAACAACACAGATGTAGAAAGAACAAAAAAAACGAAAGAAAAAAAAACACCAATAATAATAATTTAGTTAGCGAAAATTTTAGGGCGAAATATAAAAACATCTACAAGCAAGTACATGTTGTGCATGAGCACAGATATAGATACATTTGTAAAGATAAAGCTATACAGAGACAGCTACAGCTACAGATATAGAGTTTCAAATACAGCTACAGCGATACAACCCCATGTACGTGCACACAGAGCGAATTTTATGTACAAAGATACAGGTACAGCTATAGATACTGATAAAGATACAAGCATAAATACAGATAGCGATGTAAGGATGCAGCTACAGTTATAGTTAGCGATTCGAACATACTGTTACGGATACAAATACACAAGAAAAGACATAAATGCAAATACAGCTATAGATAAAATTGTAAAGATACAGCAAAAAATTCAAAGATATAGCAAAAAATACAGATAGAGATATAATGGTACAGCTACAAATACGTATGTATATAATACAAATATGTATATACAGATAAAATAATACAGCCACAGATACAGATGCAGATATACAGCTATAGACAGATATACGATATGCTAAGATACAAAAGTATAGATATATATACAGATACAGATGCAGATGCAGATACAGATACAGATACAGACACAAAGATACGGCTGGAGATAGCTAGAAATATGAATAGACACAAAGGTTTGGCGCGAAGTTCCAGAGACACACATATGCATATAGCAGACACAAATTTATATGTGCACGCACACACACTCGCATACATATGGAACTACTCAGGGGCGGCCAAATCTATTTTTAGCACATTAGATGATAAGATTGTCGAGCCAAACGCGCAGAACTTTGCGGTTTTAGAGCGCAAAAAGTATATATGTAACAAAAAACACACGCTAAAATTTTTATACACACACATGTGCATGCATATTTATTTATTTTTGAATCGGTGGGCGCGGAAACAGAAAACAAGTTTATTTTAGCAAAATATATAGAGTTTACACCCTGATTTTTGCGCCTCGATTTTTGCTCCTCTTCTTGCTATCAATTTTTTCCATTTTTTATTTTTGCTTAAAACGCGTTTTGATTTACAGCTTTGTTGAAAAACAAAAACAAAAACAAAACTAAAAAATGTTCCACTCGTTTTTGCCAGTTACCTCTGGATTTTCTTTTTTAAGCACTTATTTTTTTTTTTTTTTATTTTTATTTTTTTTTTTTATTTTTTTTTTTTTAGTTTTTTAAACAACTATTCAGGCCAAACAGGAATTTTAAAAGCCGAAAGTTTTATTTCACACTTGCAGCAATATACCTCGTAGTTATATAAATAGCTATATATGTATGTACATGTATATATGTATCTATTTATAAAAATATGTATTTTCATATCTTGTCTTAATCAATTTTAAGAAACTTTCTGATAATTAAATTCCGGATATCCAAAAAGCAAATGAAAACAGGAAAGCTCATCTATATATTTATATAAAAATAGGAAGTTAAACAAGTTGCAGCTGCTAACGACTATGAAATACTCTCTCGCTGCTTATATATTACTATGGAAAAATATATGGATTCCTTAATAGCAGTGAATAGATAGCTTATATTAATTTTAATCTTCTGGCGGATTTTTAAAAATCCATTTAAGTAAATATCAACTTAAATAAGACTTTATTAATAATCTATATATACAACATATATATGATTTTCAACCCGAATTTCAGTTTCCATTCAAGTTGGCCTAACTTCCTAAAGAATTTGGTTATGAATATAAAACTTACGTTAAGCAAACGTCAAAAAGAAGCGAAAGAAACAAAACACCTGTTCAACTTTCTGTTTCAGTTGACTGGAAAAAGAGAAACAATTCACCTTATAGCCAGATGTATTACTTAATAATATTTGTGGGCAAACAAAAAGCAGCGGAAGATAAATGCAAAGTCGTTTACAAACACAAAACATTTCCATTGTCTGTGGCCCAAAAATAAACATCTGCATATTTTTAGCGCTGAATTCACAGAGAAAATTCTTTAAACGACGGGGCAGAACTCTTTAATCTTCCTAGCAAATTTATATATTTTTAACTGCTTGCGTGAGATTCAATGGCATAAAGGAAAATAAAAGTTCTACCAAAGGACAGTTAAACTGTTGCTAGATATCTCTCAAGACTCTATAAATATGTCTTCTTCCTCTAGAAAGCTCAGAAAATCCTTAAATACATAGAAGAGATAAGTTTGAGAGGGAAGGCAAACACAGCTTTTTAAGTTTTCTATCTCTATGTTTAATTTATATTTCATTAGCTATTCAAAAGAGATTTCAATTCATTTCATTTCAATTTACATTTCGTATGCATATAAAATTCTCATATGCACAAAAACAAAATGAAGCAAAAAAAAAATTGGATAAAATTTTAATATTTGCTGCAAACGCTGCGCAAATAGTTTGAGTAACAGCCGCAACCACAAACAGAATGGGAGCCGATGCCACATGCCAATGCCAATGTCGAAGTCGGAGAAGAAGAAGCAGGAGCTGCGGCAGCAGCAGCAGCAGCAGCATCAGTAGCAATTAGAGCGCATCCCAGTCACATAAAAAACAAAGATGCATTATCAAGGTTTCTATTCATGAAATGCAATTCTTTTGACCCCTTAGCTCAGCGGTTCCGCAACTGTTGACATCACAATTCCCAACAGTTGCCGACAACAAGAATTTGACAACAAAAATGGCCAGCAAAGACAAACTTTTTCTTTGCATAATTGCAAGAGAAACAACGAGAGTTGCCTGCCCTTAGATAACTTTGTCTTCTGTGCAGTTAATTAGTGTTAACATGAATGTAAAAATATTGTAAAAGAATAACTCAACTTTAGCATAACTTTCTGTTTGTGTTGTTTACTATATTCATATGTATGTATATGTAGTTAGTGCCTTACTCTATAAGTTTGTTTTCATTTCATGCTATCTCTATCCTCTAAATAAATAAAAATACTCTAAGTACATCTAAAAGACGTATCCTTGCTCCAATTTATTTTTCAAATTTCAAATAAATATATGAACAAGAGCAAAAAGATTATTGTTTATGTGTATGTGCGTGTGATTGTATAGGAACAAAGGCGGATGGGTTACTCACATTATTCGATGGGATGGCCTTGTGTGTTGCTTGCCACGATCTCGCAATTTCTCTCGCTAGCTCTCTTTCTCTCTCTCTCTCTCTGTCGTTTCGTTTCTATTACTCTCTTGACGCCTCCCACGTTGCTGGCTTACAGTTATGTAGATAAAACGTTTGCTTGATTTTGATTTGCTTATTCTTAATGTGATTCACATTCGTATTACATTCGCACATAAGTATTGTAAATTCTTCTAATTGCCTTTTGGTTTTCGTTTTAATTGCTTTAGCACTTGTTTCACTTTGTTGTGGTTTTTGTTTGGTTTTTTCCTTTTTTTTTTCTTTACATATTTGTTATCACGCCGCAATTCGATTTGTTATTATTTTTCGCATATATATATTCGATTGGGTATTTATTTTTATAAATCTTGCTTTTTGAATGAAAAATATTCTGGTTAATTATGTGCATTTATTTAGCAGACAAGCAGACACACATGCACACACACAGAGCGAATATGTAGATAAAGGAGAGCGAACAGAGCGAAACAGCGCTAATGATGCTTTTAGCGGTAAATTGCAACAATGTCAGCAACTGACTTGAAGTCGAAGACTACAGTGCCACTCAGCTCAAAACCCAACTCAAAATATAAAGCGTGATTTAAATTCAGCTCGATTATGATAATGATTTCAGTTGCTTCCTTCAAATATTTTACCTATAACTACCCTGCGATTATTTTGTATTCACTTTCGCACGGACCCATTGATACTTTTTAGGGAAATCTATTTTATTTACAGCTTAGATAAGGAACAACAAAATGGCTTGCATTGGAATTCGGATTTTAGTGCGATTTATCACAAAGTTCTGTTATCTTTGCATTTACGTCTCAAGCGTTTTAAAAATCATTCAGTTTGTATTTGTTTTTCTTTTTATTTACCAAGCGCTTTTCCGCATGTTTTGTGATTACATACACACACACAACTCTTATACTCGCATGCACATCAAGATCGTAACGAGAGAAAGAAAATGAGAGAATGTGAGAGCGTGAACGCAAGAGCGAGAAAAATACTAAATATTAATTATCAGATATTAGTTGATGTGCAAATATTCTCATTAACACATTTTGTTGTTTTACTTTTTTTAATAATTATCTCAAGTATTTTACAAAACAATGCACATACACACAACACATCCATACGCAAGCTGCCGAACATTTGAAAATTGTTGCATAAATATTTTTAATGTGTTTTTTGTTTGTTTTTTATTTTATTTTACTTTACTGCTGCTGTTGCTCCAGAAACAAGAAAAAACACACCGAACGATGGCGCACTCTTTTGCCCCAATCCAATCAAAATATATAATAAACATACATACATGCGTACATATGTGTATGTATATATCTCGTTTGTGTATGTATGCGTGCACGTAGTCCGCAATCCGTGAATATCAACTTGAAACGCAGGCGAATAGAATAATACTGAAAAGCGTGAAGTAAAACGAGCGCTGAATTGGCTCCAACGTCGCCTCGCTGAGAGAACGGCAACGAGAGCGAGAACGAGTGACCAAAAGAGAGAGCAGCGCAATCACAGACAAGCAGGCAGATCAAGCAGAGTTGTTGCTTGTTTTTGTATGCGTGAGCAACTTTTTTTCTGCCGCTCAGCTCACTGATACAAATGCAAACATATATACATACATTAGTACAAACATACATGCAGAAAAGAGGCATCTGCAGCAAAATTCTATTTTTAAACTTAAATTAATATTGTTCTTTATTTTATCAGCAGCAGCGCGAAAATAAAGCGCCGACGGCGGCTGCTGCGACAGCCAATCTCTTCTATCTCCCTCTTGCAATTTACTTATATAGGTGTATATGTACACACATGTGCGTGTGTGTGTGGGTGTGCAGTTGAAAACCAGAAAACAAATAAATAATACAACAAAACTAGACGCGTTCGTTGTTGTTGTTGTTGGTGTGGCTTAGTTAATGCTAATCAGCGAAGTCAACGACAACGCGTGAGATATCAGTGCCTACTAAGTGGACATGCGAGTATGTTTCAGTGTATGTGTGTGTGTTTGAGCGAAGGAGGCAAAAAGCGAAGCTCAAATGCTCACTCTGCTCTTTGACTGTTGTTGATGTTGTTGTTGTTATTATTATTGTTGCTGTGGATGTCGTCTGCTCTGCTATCAACGCTTGATAAGAAATGCGTTAATCTTTATTATGCGCGACGTAAGCAGCGCAGTTAAGCTGCATACAAACATATGCATATATGAACATGCATAGGTATGTATATACATACATACATAATTATATATGTATATATATCTACATGTGTATATATGTATGTACATATTCATATGTATATCCAAGTGTGAGAGTGCCTTTAAAACTTTTTATTTATTGACATTTCCGCTAAGAATTTGCAAGAGGCTAAAGAAAATCAAAACCAAATGTGATTTATTCGCATAAAACAAAACATAAACAACAATAGCAGAAGGTAAGAAAATAGCGAACAACAACAGCAACAACTTGTTGATGATTCAATTGTAAAACGCTGTTGACAGTGGGGCAAAACGACAAAAACGGTGTGCGCATTACAAATATAGAAATGGAAAATGCAACGCCAGCACATTCCTGGGCGGAGGACGGCTCAGCTGTTTTATCTGCCCCACGGCAAATAAAACACGAGAATTAAAATGCCGCAAGAATTACTCACACACACACATTYACAGTAAGATAAAGCGGGAGAGGCAGTGAGAGATTATGAGAGTGACAGAGCAAAAGAGAGAGAAAGAGCAGCAGCAACAGCAGAGGGCCTTATGCTCTCATCGATAGTGAGAGTGATCTGATGCTTTATCAGCGGCGGGCGGCTATTTTTAGACAAGCGCAAGAGCGACCACAAAGCAGCAGAGCACCAAAAATATAAAATCCAAATAAAAATTTCCCAAAATATATCATAATAATTTTGATTTTGTTTTGACAAACAAAAATCTGAAGATCTTAAGTAAGGCAGCACTGGTAAGGAATACAGAAAGAGTGAGCGAGACAACAAAAGGAGAGATGCACATTATTATTGGTGCTTTTAATGATTATTCCGCAGGTTGGATGTGTGCGACTGTGTTCTGGGAATGTGTGTGTGTGTGTGTGTGTGTGTGTGTATGTGTGTGGGAGTGATAATGCACAAATAAAATGCAAACAATGCCATTCGCTGCAGTCAACGAGATAAAACTAAGCTTAGCACCGCAATGTAACAATAAGAAGAAGAAACACAAACAGTTATCATATAACAACTTTGATGGAAATGCAAATGCATAACGTAAAAGGCGCATCTGCATGAACTAGAACAACAACAATAATCACAAGAACAATCAGATTCTTAGAAAACGTGACGAGCGTACTTTACGCCAACTTTTCTTTTGTTTTTCTTTTCAATCACTTTTGCATTTTTCCATTCACGATCGCACAAACAAGAAACATTTCAATTTGAAATATGACCGATGTCCGCATTGTCAAAAGTTATTAGTATGATAGAATCAACGTTTATTGGAGTGGTTGAGAATATGAAATGAATTATTATAATTACATTTAATCTCAATTTTATAAAACTCAGCACTTTTTGAGATGAACTGTTACTGATAAAAATAGTCCGCGCACACAAGTCACGCGACGTCGAACGAAAGAAACAAACTGGCAGTTAAATTTGATGGACCGCAAAAGGCGTGAGCAGAGCTATCGACTGCGCGCTTAATATTTAAGTTATCGATAGTTGCGTCCAGTGAATTAAAAGTAGTGTGGCAGCAATATTGAAAATACCAAATTAATTTAAATAGTAACGTTTTTTTTTTATATATATATATAAAAAGATAGTTTCACGGATAAAGATTTGTGNATAGTAAAAAAAATTCTTTTAGTCAAAATTAATATCAAAGTTAAAGTGAATTAAATTTTTAATACATTATCCAAGTTGACCTTGCTATAATTTCATTAAATAATTTCAGTAACTTCAATTTTGATTGCTTGAGAGAAAGCTTGCCAAATTTTATTTGTATAATTATATTATTTTTATATGATAAAATAGTGGTCTTAGTTCTTAGTATACATTTTTTATAATATTTGTCACATTATTTGAGCATATTGCAACGTTCTAATGGAAAGCGCATTTGGTATTTTAAATGTTTTAGTTTTGTTTTTTCTTTGTGCTTCAATTCTGTAGCTCTGTGTGGCTCTTCGACACGCTACTTTATGTAAGCATTTAAACTAGTGCCTCGCACAAAAGCTACGGCTATAGATACAGATACACGACGTTGTCGTGCGGATTGTGTGCAATTTTTATTTATTTGCAGTCGTTGTTGTTGTTGTTGCTACTGCAGTTGTTGCCGGCGTTTGCAATTTGTGCATATTTGTTACAAGGTCATATCGTCTGATTGTAAAAGTGCGAAAAAGCAAAACCGTAATAAAAATATTGTGCCTATTTTTATGGCCAAATATGTAGGTAGAATATAAATGTTTTTATATATATATATAAAAAGATAGTTTCACGGATAAAGATTTGTGCGCCTTTCACATTAAAATATTATTTATACCAGTTAGCATGGGACGTTCCTTCGGTCCACAGAGAAATGTGCCCCACACCTGTAAAAATTCGCTTCGTCCAAGTAATTTTTGAGGGCCTATTGTACTAAGATTTATGTTTTGTCTCATTAATTGCACCGGTCCATTAAAATTAAAATGGTAATGACTATGAGTCACGTAAACTTTTTGTGTCATCGAACTCAAAGATTCCGTATCCTGCGCTATAGACAAACCACTCGAAGACATTGTAGCTGGCTGCTTCCACATAAGAACGGAAGCTGGATCGTCGGCTTCGGAGCTGCTGAAACAACTGCTGGAGGAATTCGAACGGCTAGAGTCATTGACAGCGCGCAGTTCCTGAAGCAATTCACGGCAATGCTGCTGCAAATCATTTAACTGCTCTCTCAACTCTATATTTTCTTGATGAACCAACGTTTTCTCTTCCAAATTCCAATTCTGTTTCCTTTCCATATTTGGCTCGATCTCTACGTAACGTTTCTTCTCCATATTTCGTTTCATCTCCCATTTTTTTTCAGTCTCCAACTGTCTCTCCATTTGCCACTGCGCCTTCTTCAATTTATATTCCACTTGCCATTTTTGTTCAGCCTTCCAATCATGTTTATTTGGCACTCCTGCACTAAAAGGTTCCTCCACTTCCATTTGCTTCTCTTCCTCTATTTCCTCTTGATCAGCATACTCTGGGTCTTCCATTGACGTGAAATTGCTAAGCGGGACATTTTGAATACAATGTCTGGCCGTTTTTCCCAACCATTGCGCAGATGCTGAGATAGCAATAACGACCAAAAGTATGATCCCATAGTTGATAATCAAGTCATAGAAAATTTTTAGAAAATGAATTACTGGAGAATCATTGGGACAAGATTTTGACTCAGCTACGTAGGTAGGCCTCACTAAAAATAATATAAAAAAATAAATAAAAAATAAAAAAACAAACGAATAATTATTATTCTTATAAAATTATTTGACAATTAGAATATCTTTACCCGTGAAGATTTTCACTTTGTGATCGTAGTGAGTTTTATCCTCAATTGCATGTAAATAACACAGCAACGACCAGGATATAAATGCCAAGGCGCACAAAAAAGTAATACTTATGTTATGAAACATATTTGCCCTATAAAATTCGGAATAGTGTTTAAAACATGTGTCTGCTTTTAAATCAATAAACAAGTGTACTGAATTTGTCTACCGAAATGAAAAAAGTAACTACAAACAAATGAAAAGCATGGATTGCTATATTAAAATTTGTTTTCATTGTATTCAAAAACGATTCTTAACCGTCCAACCTATCGATGTAATATTGAGCTATCGATTATGGTATAAGATTTAATAATTAATTTAGAATTCAAAGTGATTGGTATTTTAAATTTAGCCCGTCAAAGCGACAAATCGATTCCACGGTAACTATCGATAAGTACACTTGTTGGCGTACATTGTGATTGGCACCGCTGAAACGTGCAGATTTGTAATAAACACAATACAAAATGGAATTAATGGTATAGTGAGCCTAATAAACGTAAATTTAAAGTAAATTAAAGTATTCAATTAATACAGCATGGCGCTTCCCTGCTTTCGAGGCCTGCTGAGGAGTTCGGCAATGATTCACTTGTGGAAGAAATGTGGGCGGCCAAAGCACTCGAACATGCCGAAGTGCATTTTAATGTGAGTCGAATTAATAATAATCTGATAAGTAAAGTAAACTATTCAAATCAACTATTATCGTATAGCTGCTGACCAGCGTGCCGCCCTCACAGCTGCGTTTGACACCCTACGATGATCAAATCTACGCCACATTTCGCCAAGACTTTCCAGATTTGCAGGTGGCTCGACTCAGCGACGAAACTCTCAAGTCGGCAACAGAGAAATTGAAATGGCGTCAATTCGCTGAGAAATTCAATAAAATGGAAGACTACTCCTACGGCACTCTGATGCGTGCCGATGCCAGCAAGGAATTCTCTCCAGACAATTCGATATTCGTGTTTCGTGTTCAGTTCCTAGCCATTGAGATTGCGCGCAATCGCGAGGGCCACAACGATGCGGTGCACAAGAGCCACCGCCCCACGAAGAAGACGCAAAGCACCGAGGAGACGACGCAATGAGAAATACCATCAGCCTTCGCTGATTTAGTTTAGTTTTAAAGTTATTAAAGTGCAGCATTTACGGCTGTAAGATATGCCACTCACTTGCGACAATCTGCTAAATATGAATATTGTCTACACTGAAATCAGTATAATTCTAATTAGCATGAGTCTAACTAGTCTTGGTGTCATCGGGTCGTTCGTGAATTCTCGTTCGAGTTCCAATAGTAATCTGACATCAAAATGCGTTTTAAAGTTAAACTTTTTTTAATAGAAAACTGAATTTCCAAGCTGTTTTCAATAATATTTCATATAATTTATATAATAAGCTATGAGCTAAGTATTGTCCGCACTAGGCGCAGTTTTGGCCCCTTTGCCACCCACGTTCACTGCCTCCAATCAGTCTTGCTTGCTCGGGGGTCGTCGCCCCTTCCACTACAGTCCATTGCTGTTGCACATCATCAGGATGAAGGGTATCATCGAATCGATTTGCATTTGTCCCACCAGATTGGAAAAGAACAGTTCCTCGGTGAGTTCCGATTCCAGCACGCTCAATGGCAACAGGCTGGCAAATAATCCATTCGCCCGCTCCTCGCCGCCGCTCTGACGACGCAGCGTGGCCAGGGCGTAGAGCTGGACCCGTTTCACATAGGCGCGCAGTGAGCGTTCGCGTCGATTCTGCTGCAGCATCAGCGGATTGAAGAGCAACACCAGACGCAGCAGTCCAAACTCCAGGTCCGTCACCTCCTGCGGTTGCAGCTCCTGTACAAAGTCATGCAGGGTGCGCGTGATCTGGGCCAGCTTCGCGATCTTTTGTGGCTCGATCTTATCGATGTCCGCCACCTGGCGCACGGTCTGCACCAGCTGACCAATGATCGTGGGCACCGCCAACTGCCGCTGGCACTGAGCTAATGCGACGGCGAGCAGCGAGGGCCAAGCGCCGCGGAGCAGCTTCATCTGAGTGTGCGTATCGAGCAGTTCAAAGGCGGCCACCTTGCGCAGCGTGTGGACAGTAAGAAAAATGATCCGGGCACCGGTTTCGCATACATAATGCATATTGAGGTACGAATGGACCAGCGTGGGCGGCTGCACGTGGAAGCCACACTGCGCCTCGGAGGCAAACAGATCTTGTGTGAAAATCGCTTCATTGGCCACAAAATCGCCACGCTGACAGTACTCGAAGTCAAGGTCCATGTGCTCCACCAAATCAGCGTCCACATCCTCTGTCCCGCTGTCTTCTGCATCCGAATCGCATTCGGGTTTGATGTTCAGCGCAGTAGCTGTGCTCTGTCCGGTCTGATTCCTGTCCAGCTGCTGCTGTATGGGCTGCAGCAGCTGCAGCGCCTTGTCTATGGCTCGTTTGTCCATCGTACTCTGGATGAGACCCACTGTGGCGGGCGTGGGTATAGTGGATGCATCTGCTGCAGCGGTGGCAGCAGCTGCTGCATTGAAATTTAAATGCTGTGAATTATTGTTGCTGGCGCTGTTTGCCAGCAGCTGAAGGCACAAGGTGCTGCTGTTGTCCATCGAGTCATCGTCATCCTCCTCCAACTCTGGCTTGGCCAGCTCTGGTGAGTAACAGTGACTGTTTGCATTGCTGCTGGCTGCCTGCTGCTGCTGCTGCTGTTGCTGCGAGGCGAGCACTGAAAGCGAAATGGCTGCTTATTAGAATCTGATTGGCATGCATTGGTATTGTTGGTCTTACTCAGTGTTTGTGTTAGCTCCGCAAAGTTCAGATTCATCGGGAACAGAGTCTCACTTAACCCAAAGGGCGTTGTTGGTGTGTTGCCCACGGTGGGCGTGGCCGCATGCTGAAAGAGCGACGCAGCCGAGGCAGCGACGGCAGCTGCTGCCGACGCATGTTGCTGCTGCTGTTGCTTCACACGCACCTGTTGATAGCTCGACTTGCCAGCCGAGGAGACACTGGTGGGGCCGCCTGCACTGCTCGAGGAGCCCGACACACTGCCCGTCCCACCAGAGCCGATGCCATCTTTCCTATCCACAATCGGTTTGCGCTCGTGCTGCACGGCTGCAGATGACGATGATGGCATAGAAAAGTAAAGCAAAGCAAAGAGAAAGCCGTTTATAAAGTGCTGCAGTTAAATAACGGTACATGATGTGCAGCTAGTTGTGGAGAGATGTGCAATGGGTGTGTCTATGTGTATGAGCATGTGTCTGTGTGTGTGCAGGTAAGCATGCATGCAGTATTAGTATGGATAGCTGAGACTTTGTCTTTAAATGTCCATATCAAATATTTAAATTCAATTATATTGTTTTTCTGATTTTTATAATATTTTTAAATTCAGTTGATTCATAAAATTAAGTTTAATTACTTCTCAAATAGAAGGGACTTTGAAATAACAGTCTAATTAGAATATCCGTAAACAGCAGTTATAATTTTATCAATCCCTCTGATTTAAATTCAGTCAAGTTTTAAACGGATATCCAATATTTAAAATTGAATTGCATGAATAAGCTCTCCATAGATAAGTATTAGAGCTAATTGCAAATTAGTTTCCTAATGGATTTCAATCTAATTAAAATGTCAGCAAACAGGTGTTACCAGATGTGCGTTTGCATAGTCGAACAAAAGACAGACAAAAGCCCCATCCATGCTGAGTTTTGTGTGAGTGCGTGAGTGTCTGAATGCGTGTGTGAGTGTGCGCTTATGAGAATGGATGTGCAAAGGGGGGATTGGTGGAGGACTGTGGGGCGGTGCGTGTAATGTTGTCTGTTTTGATTTGATTGGGAATTTTTGAGACGACGACTTAAACGAAAATTACAATCACTTCGCATGCCGCTGGCCAAACACTTTTGCAGCCGACAGAATTGACACCTGTTGCGATGGTGTTTGGTCACCTCGCAGTTCATTGCGCCGCGGCACTGGTAGCCCAGTTGTTTGCGTATCGAACGCTTGAAGAAGCCCTTGCAACCCTCGCAGCTGATGGCGCCATAATGGCGACCGGAAGCACGGTCCCCGCACACCAGGCACAGCTCTACGGACGACAGAGACGCAGCGGCTGCCGCAGAGCTGGCCGCATTTCCGGCCGCAACGGCGGCTGCATTGCTGCTGCTGCTGCTGTTGCTGCCGCTTGGGTGATTCAGGCCCATGGCTCGGCTCTCTGCAAATCAGAGCAAGAAAGAGAAAAAAATCGTGAAATAACACACATTTTTACACGCACTACAAGTTTTTCAGCTTGACTCACCTTCGGTTTTAATGCCGCTGCTTGTGCCCATCATGAAGCCCAACTGAAGACTGCAAGCTGTTGCTTCTTTGTGTTAGTTTGCTTTTCTTATTAGAACTTGTTTTTCGTTACGTCTGTGTGCGTGCGTATGTGTATGTTTGTGCATACGTGCGCTGTTTATATTAACTGCTTTTAAACGTTTTGGAAAGGTTTTAAAAACATTGTTTTCGAACTCACGGTACGATTATTATGCTTACTTTACACTTTGACCTTAAATATGTCACTTAAATTAAATATCTAAAGCCATTTAGAATGAGCTTTAGAGGAACAGCGAAAAGTCTTCAACCTTTCGATAAAACACTTTCAGTTTTGTGGCAACGCCACCACATTGTGTGACCATCAACCATATGCTGTTATTTCCCCTCCATTGCTTATTTCACTTGTGAATCGATAATCGCTCAGCGTAATTGGAAATTTCGATAATTAAGCCTATAGCGCGCCAGTTTAAAAATTATAATAGCCACTAGTTTATTTTATTTATAAAAATACAATTTATTATACAATTGAAATCATTACACAAAGAATAAAACATACAAATCACTTATTTACTTATGTTTTCTGTGAAATTAATTACACTTTTTTGGTCTTATTAACGAGTAAGCCACAAATTGCCCTAAAAAAAATAGCTGCTTGCAATGGGAAGAGGTCCAAAAAATCATAAAATACAAGCGCGAATTAATTTGGGAAGCGCACAGTTTTAACCTACAAACATTTCACGATACTATAGATCAACTATTCTTACACAATTATCAACTACAGTCTGTTTACATTATTTATTCTTTAAGCCCATTGCACGTTTTGTGGCGCGACCAAGGAAGATGCCCGTCAGAAAGACTAAGCCCGTGGCGCTCATTAATATCACAAGGAAGAACTTCCGTGCCGGTGATGCGACCACCTGCTGTACCAGCTGTCCCATATCCTCCAATGGCAGGGCCAGTGTATCGTCCGCATTACGAAACATTTCAATACGCTTCTGCAGCTTGTCGCGGCAGTCCGGCTCCAGTGATTTTGGCGACTCGCGCAATAATCTACGCAGACAATCCAGCTCTTAGTGAATGCAGAAATTAAAAGCAAAAATGGATATTAATTATTAGCATATAAAATTCCATTAAGAAAGCTTACTGCGTGCATTGCCACTAGCCACATTGCCGCAATATCGCAATAGATCCACAGTGCAAGCCATTTCCAGTATGGGATCCACATGAATATCCGCCTTGGCCTCGGCTATCAGTGTAGCCACCTCCAGTTGGCACTCGCGATTAATTAGCTGCTTGCGCAGAAAGGCCGCCTTCAAGCATTCCTCGACCTGGCCATGCTCATCCGCATCCATATACTTTTTGCAGAGTTCCTGTATCTCAGACTTGCAGAAGTGCTGCAGCACGGGATTCAGCTTATAGTTTAATGCCTGCTCCTGCAGTATTTTGATCATCTCCTGAGCGCATTTGTCATCCAACTTGGATTGTCTGAATTTCTCCTTTAGGCATTTAATAACCTATTCATATGAAAGGTAAGAGAAATTTGTTTACAGTCAATTATGAGGAATACCATTAACGAAGAGAATTCCTAATCAAGAATATTTCTATTTAAATTGACTTGCTTTCACCGCAATTTGAATAGCCTCCGCTAACTCATTTTCATGACTTTTCCGATTTATATGGAATACAGTATAATATTTTCGCCAGCTGAGTTGATAGAACTGTTTGCAGCGATAACGAACCGTAATAAACGATCGCAATTGTCGAGCTGGTTGGGCTCGCACGTTCTTCCCGTTCAGTTCAATTCGATGCGTAGACGTGTCGTATACGTGATGTTAGCTCTTTGCGGGCTGGTGCTCACTGGCCTCGTCGCCTGGCTGCTGGTCTCGATGATTGCGGTAGCGGATGCACAGACACCGATGTCAACGCTGACCGTGGAGCTCTCCGGACAACAGGGCACAGTGCGCGGCAATTACGGACAGACAGCGTGGACGGGGCAGACCTTCATGCAATTCCGTGGCATTCCCTACGCAGAGCCGCCCGTTGGAAATCTGCGCTTTCGTGTGGGTTAATAGTCCAATTTGTCGACTAGTGATACGACAACTGATAAACGACCTTTATGACGCTATTTATATATTGTACCTTCCCACAAAAAAAAAAAAATAAAAAACAGCCACCGGTTGCTCGCTCACCCTGGTCTGAGACACTCGATACCTTGGACTTTGGCCAACGCTGCCCCGTGATAACCAATTTGGATCCAAAGATGTCTGACGCTCAGCTAGAAGATTGCCTAAATCTGTGCGTCTACACAAAGAACGTAAGTGGTATCGAAATTTAACCTTAATTTAATTAGATTAGAATCGAATTTGTTTTTGAGATTTTGTAAGCATCTAATTAATTGAAAATGACTTTTGAAGTAGCCATAAAGTGTAGAGGATTTTAATTAACTTCAATTCAAGCACTTAAGTAAAAGAAAAGATCAGAGGGAAACTAAATAGACGTAGACCTTATTTAGTTATAGCTCAATAGCCCTATATATTGTATATAATATAAACAATGATAAACAGCTGTTGCAGTAGCTGTTTTTCCAATTGGCGATAAATAGTTGACAATCCAGAATTAATATGAGTCAACCTAAATTCAAGCATGAAATTGAAATATGGTTTAAAACGCTTTTTATCAGTATTGAAGAATTTTATACCAAGTTTCTGAAATTGAACTTCGACTTTAACTTTTGAAAATCGCGTAGGAAGGTGATTCGTATAATTCAATCACTTTTGTGCCTCCTTTTACAGCTCACAGCGCGTCAGCCGGTAATGTTCTATGTGTATGGCGGCGGCTATTACAATGGCTCATCGCAGGATCATCCGCCGCACTATTTGCTGGAGCGTGATATTGTCCTGGTGGTGCCACATTATCGCGTGGGCGCTCTGGGCTGGCTCTCTACACTCACTGAGCAGCTGCCTGGTAATGCGCCGATAGGCGACATACTTCTGGCCTTAGATTGGGTGCAGCGGCATATACACAGATTTGGCGGTGATCCCAACCAGGTGACCATATTTGGACAGAGTGCTGGAGCGGGCGTTACCAGCGCCTTGCTGCTGAGTCCACGCACCGCCAAGCACCATTTTCAACGTGCAATTGTGCAATCCGGTTCGATATTCGCAAGCTGGGCTCTGCTCAAAGATCCCGCTGCCCAGGCCCAGAGAATCTGCAAGGAGTTGCACTGTGAGCGCTGCGAGGAGCAGGAACAGCTCTTGCGCTGTGTGCGTTCTGCATCGGTGCTGGAGCTGCTGCAGGCTACCAAATCGGAGAGTTTCTCTCCCCTTGTGGGCGATCTTCAGGGCATACTGCCAGAACATCCGGAGGAACTGCTCAAGCGCCGTCAGCGTTCTGTGCCGCTCATGACGGGCTTCACACAGCACGACGGCTCCTTTGTGCTTGCCTGTGAGTGGACATAGACTAATATTTCAGAATCTTTTCTTGATCCAATCCTTTGCAGCATATTACGATGCTTTGGCAGCCAAGCTCGTCAATGTCAGTGATCTCAGCGTGCGTCAGTTTTCCCAGGGTCTCATCGACATGGCTAAGGACTCCACAGGTTTGGCAGACAATTTGTTATATCGCCTGCTCTTCACGCGACAGCTGTTGGAAAGCCACGCCCACAAGGCTGCGCTGCCTGCATATTTTGATGTGAGTTGGAGCAGAAGTCATTAATTGAGCTTTAGCTGATTTTTTCTCTCTCTCTCTCTTTCTCAGCTCACTTCGACAATTTATATGAAGTCGCCCGTCATCAGCCTGGCCACCAAGCTGTTCACACATCGATCGGGCACTCCTGTCTATGTCTACAGCTTCGAGTATGAGGGCGAGCACACCCGGTTTGGCTACGAGTTTGGCAATGAGCATTATCCCTTCAATGGCGGCGTGCATCACTCCAACGACAATATCTATCTATTTGCCACGCATTCACTGCAAATGGAAGACACACTCATGGCCCAGAACATGGTGGAGCTATGGACATCGTTTGCCATTGACGGTGTGCCCAAAGATCTGAATCCTCTGACCAGTGCCAGTGGACCTTACAATCGCCTCGGCCTCCACGTAAAGACGGGCGACGATTTGCTGGAAACGCTCACAGCAACAATTGATGATCCAGACAATTCGCGTTTGCAGCGCAAAAATGTGGAGTTTTAAGAAGCCATTAAAATAGGAAATCGGGGTAAAATGTTTTTTTTTTTCGTATATGTATATATATATTATTTTATAGACTTGGAAATGTAATGGAGCTGACTAAACCAACCATATTWACTATACTCGTATATATATTAGCATGAGAATAAACAAAGGGCCCAGCTAGCGCTTAATTTAAATCCTTTGCATCATAGAGTTCAATATAAATTTACGAATTGCTATTCAGAGGGCAGTTTATAATATATAAATACTTTAAAGATAAGTTGATGGAGTGACTTGCTTTCACCTTTGGTATTATAGATAGATATCACTTTACGAGTTGCAAATAACTATATAGTACATACATTATATATTTACTTGAAGATAGATTATACTTTACACATTTAGAATCAGCTAACCCAATACAGTCGCATCTACTTTCTACACTCCCTTATCATCTTAATTGAAAATGCTTCCCCTATTCTTTCTCATGCTTTCTCATTCGTTTGCCTTGACCGCATGTCAAATCAATTAATTTCCTTTGATAAAATATGTCAATTGACTACTCACCTTTCCATTGAGTTCCTCATTCGGTTGAGATTGTATCACAATATTGGAGCAGTAGCGATCAATGTTCTTGCCACAGGCGCTCTGTAGCGTTGGATTGAAACGAAAGTCTGTATTTTGTTCGATCATTCGATTGACGACCACCAAATGACACCGTTGATCAAATGTGGGATCATCCTTGTAGGTCTTTAAGCAGTTCAGCAGCTGCATAGATTCAGTGTTGGGACAGAATTTATATATCATCTCCTTGCAGGTGTTGACTAGAGTATAGTCGGTGCCGCTGTCCCCCAGCTCCGAGCGTTTGATCATGAATATCGCATGATGACAGTTCTTGCCCAGGCGTGATGTTTTCTGTATCAGACACTCCAGGGCCTGTAAAAAATGTGTCTTAGTAATTTGTACTCAAAGAATTGAATAAGTTTATCATTGTAGGTGTTGGGTTGTGTTAGTGGATTAATAATGGCTTGACTTGGATGACTTGCATTTTTATTCACCTGACCGGGGCCATTTTGATCAGAGCAGAACTGCTTTAATTCGTTCTTGCAAACGTTAGCCAACTTGGGATCAAGCGAAATACTTTCACGTTGCTGATACAGCTGCGACTTGACCTGCTGTCTGCATTCCTTTGGTATCTGATGCCGCTGAGCGCGTATCGTATCGTTGCGCATGACCTCACTAAGGCAGGCGACAACCTCGTTTTTGGTGGCGCTTGCACCACAGAAGCGCAATACATGCGGACGGCACGCCTCCTTGAATTTGGTCGTGAAATGGTAGCTCTTTAGCGAGATTATCTGAAAGTGTTCGATGGCAGCGCGACAGCCCTTGTTCAGGTCAGCATCGTTTTTGTGCGAAATCAGGCAGTCCATCATGTTGCCTAAAAGATAGAGAGCATTAGTTGCGGAGCAACTGGTAAACTAGCTAAGCTAACCGCCATCCTTGCCGGCATTAAGTATTTCCGAGCAATGCTTTTGCATTGCCTCCGAGCAAGTGGCCATTATGACCGGATTCATCTCAATGTTGGCTGCTTCCTCCTCTGTGTACTTGGTCACCACAGCCCTACACTCAGGCTGCAGCTTCTCGAGCCTGTTCTGCAGGCACTCCATTTCGGAGCCCTTCTCGGTGAGCTCGCCACAGAACTGGGACAAGTCGGAGAGACAGTAATCTTCAACCTCTGGTATCAGATCTACAGATATCGCCCGCTGCCGCATCACACGTTTGACCTCCCTAAAGCAGTCCTTGCGCAACGTATGATGCTCGTCCTCGCTGTATGCCATGCGATGCAGGCAGGGCAATATCATGGGGCCACGCTCGGGATCCATTTGTACATCCTGTATATCGTCCCATTGGTGCTTGGCGCGGCAGTACTTGACAGCATCGTCGCGGCAGTGCTTGTAGAGCTGCGGGTCCAGTTTGAAGTCGCGCGCCACAAAATACTCGATGATAAGCAAGGCCTGCTCACATTCCGGGCGCATAGCGGTCGTGCCTATGTGTTCTATAAGGCAGCTCATAACACGCGCTTCGCCGCCTTCCACGTCCTTGCAGGCAACATCAACGACTTTTTTGCAGGCACGCCTAAGCACAGGATCGACACGCCAGTCCTCGCCCGCATCGCTGGCCTTGATTAATGTCTCCAGTCCACGCTGACACTGAGCTGTGACGCGTCGCTGTGGCCGCCTTGCGCGCACATGATACATAAGGCAGTGAATGATTTCCCCACCAGAACTGGAGAGGCCGTTAACCAGCTGCGACTTGTGTTCGTCGGGACAGAACTTGGGTATATCGTCGGCACAGTCGCTGAGCAGCTCGGGCGACAGTTGAAAGTCTGTCATGAGCATGCGTCGATGATCGTCCAGTTCAACGATGCACTCGGGCGCCAACTTCGTACCGTTCTTCGACACAGACTCCAGGCAAAGCAAGATTTGCGCCAATCGCACCTGCTTATCCTCGGAGACGCCGCGTCGGCAGTGATGCAGTTTGATGTCATCCTTGCACGCCTTGGCCAGACCATGCGAAACTCGATAATCTTTGCCCATTTGCTGGTCACGCAATGTTATCTGAGCTGCACACTGGCTGCTTAGTGCTGGATCATTCTTGTGCCGGACGAGACACTTGTAGGAGCTCGCCGAACCGGCACGTTCCTGCAGAATAGATTGAGCATTAGTTACGTTACAATTTAATCATTAGCCAACTCACTTGTGGGCACAGCGCAGTCAGATCTCCGGAGCACACGCGAAACAGTTCCAACATGCCACGCTGTTGCTCAATGGCATTGATAGCCACTTTGCAGTTGATGTCCATCGTTGATTGGCTAGCATGGGCAACGAGGCATTGGGCCGTGCCCAGCTGGGAGAGCATCGACGGCAAATGCTCAATATTCATGCGTCCACACTTCAGCTGCTCCACCTGACCGCCGCAGGCTGCATAGAAGTCGCCAATACTGGCGTAGTCCTGACCAAGAGACGTATAAGCACGACGTAACTGCTGCTGGCAGCCGCTGCTCTGTGGCAATTGTTGACGTTTGTCTTCCAGGCAGGACCACAGATCGACCGAGTTAAGGCAGGTTAATAGCTTTGTTTGCTCATCGGCACAATAGCTAGGCAGGAATATGTGCTCCACCCAAGAGTTGAGCTGCAGCTGGCGCTGTTGCAGCCAGAGCGCATGTTGGCAGTCATCGGGCAGTGCCTCCAACTGACTGGAGCTGAAGCTCAACGCGCACTCCAGCATGGCCAAATTGTCAGTTGACTTTAGATGGGTGCAATAGTTTTGCAGATCCTTGCAGCCTGGCAGATCGATGATGCTGTGCAACTGAGCTGCAGTTGCCTTGCTATTGTCGGCGACAACAGAGGCGCGGCGTATGCGAACTTTCGCGGGGAGCACGTCATCGTCGCCTGCTGCTGCCCACAGCCACGACAACAGCAGCAAACACTCAAGTTTCATATTTGTTCTGGGGAAATGCTCTCAATCTTAACTGGACATTTAAGCAGGTGCATATAACAATGCTGCACTGTATACTGACTGTACACAATTATAATAACAAAAATATATATATCAATTTAAAATATCAATTCGTTACACGTTTGCTATTCATAAAGTTCCAAGCGCAACAAGATATTGACAAAAGACCGGTAGAAAATGCAGCGCTTAACTATTTTTCATTTCTTTTTAATACGAACTGTGTACGTTCGGTGAGTTGAAGTGACCCTTATGCTTTTTTATACAGAATAACCATTTAAATATCTAAATTTAGTAATTTTTTGTGCAATAGAGAATTACACGATCTTCTCAGTTTTTTTTTATTAGAACACATCGATAGACATATCGAACTTTGTGACGTCATGCTGCAAACAAAATGTTCAAAACATGTTGCATCGATGATTTGTTGAGCAATAACATATATACTAAATCAAATTATTTAGTTTTGAAAACTATTTTTTTTTTCATGAAAACTAAATAAAATATTTCAAAACGTTATTTGTAAAGTTCTTTTTATTCTACGTGTATTAATATTGTCGATAAATTTGCTTATTTTGGGCTGCTCATCTCTAGCAGTCTATGAGTCGTTCAGAAACTGAAGAAAGTTTTTCAAGCTGGCAAGCTTTTAATTTTAAATACCAGTAATTGTATGTAGAGAATACTTAAGTCATCACATTCAATCAATCATCATACTGACGCACTCCATATTGCGAACATTTAAAGTAGCGTCCTCCAACTACGGCATCACGGTGGGCGTCTACAGAAGCTGAGGAGGCGTCGGCTAACGAACGCACACCGCTCATGGACGCACACGTAGCCCCATCTTCGTCGTCTTCGTCGGCGGCGTCAGCTGGCGCTCATGGCAGCCTGAGCGGCGCAGCAGAGCGTTTGGAGCGTCCTCCAAGGCGACAACAAGCAAACCAACGCAACAATTACGGTTCGAATGGAAATCAGGAGCAAATGAACAACGCAGATCAAGCTGATGGGGTAAGTTTATTTAAAAACTTTATATTAATTACATAGCTAATCTTTTCGTAATCTGCAGGCTGTACTAGCCGTACCCAGTGTTGTCATCCGTGAATCGGCATCTCGGCCTTCAAGACTTAGTGCTGGCGGCGGCGGCGCCGGTGATGGTGAACCCGGACAACCTGCCGAAGAGGAGCAGGGCCTTAAATACGGTGCCCAACATGTTATCAAGCTATTTGTGCCAGTTTCGCTATGCATGCTGGTCGTTGTGGCCACCATTAACTCAATCAGCTTCTACAACAGCACAGATGTTTATCTGTGAGTATACTCAATAGACTATCAATATTTCCATATCTCACATATCTCCATCCATTGACAGGCTTTACACACCGTTTCATGAGCTCTCGCCGGAGCCGAGTATTAAGTTTTGGAATGCCTTAGGCAACTCCTTAATACTTATGAGCGTCGTGGTAGTAATGACCATATTGCTCATCGTCCTATATAAGAAACGCTGCTATCGCGTCATACACGGCTGGCTTATACTCTCCTCGTTTATGCTCCTATTTATTTTCTCTTACTTGTACTTGGAGGAGTTGCTCCGTGCATACAACATTCCCATGGACTATCCGACGGCTGTGCTGATTATGTGGAACTTCGGCGTAGCTGGCATGATAGCCATACATTGGCAGGGCCCATTGCGATTGCAACAGGGCTACCTTATATTCGTAGCAGCTCTGATGGCCCTGGTGTTTATTAAATATCTGCCTGAATGGACGGCCTGGGCTGTGCTAGCAGCCATCTCCGTATGGGGTATAGTTTTGTCTTTTATATGCCATATTTTTAAAATCGGTTTTAATTTATCTCTTGATTACAGATCTCATAGCTGTATTGTCACCACGGGGACCTCTGCGTATATTGGTAGAGACTGCACAGGAGCGCAACGAGCAGATCTTTCCTGCTTTGATCTATTCCTGTAAGTGAGCTACTCTCTCCATGATTGATCTCTCATTGCCAATGTCTTTGTAGCTACGGTCATTTATACCTACATGGGTACACACTATGCCCCAGAGCAACCCCAATCACAATCAGAATCAGAATCACAACCTCAAGCCCAACCATTGTCAACAGCCACATCATCGCCATCAAACAGCAACTCGACTGCTACAACGCGAACCACACACAACTCGTTGGCCTCGCCGGAGCTACCGACATGCTCAAGCAACTGTCGCCCAGGTACCTCGCGCACAAGTACTTCACGCGTCAATCAGCGCCAGCAGGACAATCAGGCGGCTGCTGAAGGTATGCCACTTGTGACATTTAAAACAAATTTGCACGGAAACGGTACATATGCATTTATTTTTTATAATTTTATTAATCTCTTAAAAGTATATTATTTCGCTTGTGTACTCTAAACTATGTTTTGTGATTTGCGCCTAAATTAGAGAATATGGAATCGCCTTTCGATTCCTGCATTGATTGAATTGTCAGTTGCCTGATTTAGCGCAAATGCTAATGCATGTTGAAATTTCTTCTGGTTTAGTTGTTTAAATGGTGCTAGAGTGTCTATATGTCTATCTACTTTAATTTTACTTCCAACAATAATTTAAATATGCATTTTCTACAATTTAACAGAGGAAGCCGCAGGATTCACACAGGAATGGTCTTCGAATCTCAACAATCGTGTGGCGCGTCGCCAAATCGAGGTACAAAGCACACAAAGCGGCAATCCACGTCGAGCCAATGAATACCGCACAGTACCTGCGCCCGAGCAGCAACAACCGGAGCCTCAGGAAGAACGTAAGTATACGGTATATATATGGATATACTTTTGCTAAATATTATTTTATTATCTAATTTATAGGTGGCATAAAGCTTGGTCTAGGCGATTTCATCTTCTATTCCGTGCTGGTTGGTAAAGCATCCACCTATGGCGACTGGACCACTACAATTGCCTGCTTCGTGGCCATATTGATTGGCCTTTGCCTGACCCTGCTGCTATTGGCCATTTGGCGCAAGGCCTTGCCCGCTCTGCCTATTTCTATAACATTTGGTCTGATCTTTTGCTTTGCCACTAACTTCTTGGTTAAGCCTTTTATGGAGAGACTGTCCGCTAAACAGGTGTTTATATAAAATGACAATTAGTGGATAGATATATATATAAATATGTATATTAAATACTAGTATTCTCTGTAACCAAAACACCGTTTTACAATACAATCTTTATTTAACAAAGTATAGTAACAAACAAATAAGGCTTATGTTGTTTTTAACTTGACTATTGTTTTGTCTACTAAGTTTATTAGCCAACCTGGTTCTAGCCCATGAAATAGCTGTCGTGGATCCTTGGCTGCAGTGAGCATTTCATAGTTTGGATCATCCTCGATACGAGGCAGCTCATAGCCATATTTTTGTGCCAGCACCAAGCGCTCCTTACTTATCTCCTCAGGATTGGCTAAATAGCCGCGATTCCTGGCATCTGTGTAGTACTCAATAGCATCCTGTGGCGGCAGCATTCGCAGTGGGATAGGTACTCCCTTTTCGAACCATTTCTTCGGATTGGAAAGTATGTGAACGCTGCGTGGATCATAGTAAGCAGTGCGGATAACACCGCCATTGCGCTCCACAGCTGCTATGACCGCTTCACTTGCATGCTGCACCTCGATGTTAATCTTGGCCTTGAAATTGTCCAATCCTTCGTCAGTCAACTGAAATCCATACTGAAGCTCTGCAGGTTTCAGAGTCATCAGACCAGAATTGCACAGAGTGGCGATGTCAATCGGTTGGCTGATGTCGATGCGATTGGTGTCGATCAGCACCTGTAGCTGTAGCATCGAAATTGGCGGATATTCTCGGCGCATGTGGTGTCCCTTGTAATAGGGCTCGTAGGGAAAGCGCAAGTAGAAAGGTTGATTTCCCGTTTCGTAGCCCAAGCGCATAAAATTCTGTCGCTGGCCAGATCCTTTATTACCGGCACCATGCTTGTCGCCACCATGTTGTGCACGCCCGCGTTTGTCCTACAAATCGAGGAATGTTATGAGAACATGGATTGATTGCACTGTTATTCAACCGGTCACAGATTTTACTCACGTTCTGCTTGGAGTTTGGATTTGGTCGTAGATTGCCAATTTGTACGCGCGGCAAGGTACGTAAAAGCTTTAAGGCCTTGTCTGTGCTTTCACGCAAGTGTGCCATCTAAAGTTTAATTAATAAAATTATATTTTCTACTAAAAACCGACACGAGAGTGAGTAAATTTACCGCTGTCGTTAATTAGCACTGCTAGCACTAAACTGTTAACAAACACTGGCTGCAAGCGTTGCCAGAAAATTCATGGCCCTTACGTTTTTAAAATTCTATTTGAGCTTCCATCCCTAGAGCACTGAATTTTCCCACTCAAAATAAAAACAAAGATTAAAATTCTTATTTATTTTCTAAGCAATAATACTTATTCTTGCTGCTAATATGAAGTGTACCGCGTGTCAAGGCAAAAGTGACGCAACAATAAAATGCTTTTTGAAAGCTATGGATACCATTAAAGAACACTTTTTAAGTAAGCCGCTAATAGCTCAGCTAGAGCACATTAAATATGACACATTTTCTTATAGTGATGCAGGGTCTGTGTGCAGAAAAGGAAACAAGTATTAGTCAATTAAACAAGCGTAACGAAAAGCTCCATACCGCGCTTGATATGCTGCGACAGGGACAGGAGCAACGCCTCAAGTCGAGCCCCAAACGTCGTAGATTGTCGCCCAAAAAACCTCAAATTAAACATAGCAACACGCAACAGGCGCAAACGTCTCCATTGATACCTGAGAGTCAGAGCTCACTTAATATGAATATAGCTCTTTGTTCGGATGATGACGAAGAAGAAATTATTACAGAAACGGAGCCACCTATCAGTCCTTACAAACCCTGGAAGACGCGTCGCAAGTCAAACACACGAAATTGCGAAAATGAACAACCGACTAGCACAACAGCAACAACAACAACTACTACAACTGCAGCAACAACAGATGCCAACAGCCCCTGGATGGGCAAAGTACCCAAAGACCGACTGCCAATGGGTAAGACGAAAATGTCGCTCACAATACGCAGCGATTCACCAAGATTAAAGCAAACTCGCTTGCAATTCGATGCTCCCAAGAGCAATAATATATCCTGCGATAAAGATATTATTGACTCCAGTCCGAATTTATATTCTTCGCTAAAACATGCTAAGCAATCACGTTCCCTTTTACAGAGGTTAGTAGGTTGCATTTTTATATTAAGCTATATTATAACAAAAATTAACCATTAATAAGTTTGCAGAGTCGACAACAACAGCGTCTCAGATATCAAACCTATCGCCGACATCGCAAAGACACCAATAAGCAATAAGACTCCCGTGTTTGAAATGGATGACGATGATTCATTCTTTGATCTATGTCCAGACCCGTCAGCATCTCAGCCAGCTTCAGGACTTGCTCTACCGTCTTTGAGCGGCACTTCAGATACGTCAAGCGTAGTGCTGCTCACACCTGCCACACAGGATATTGTGTTCATTGATGATAGCATTACTGAAAATACCTCTCTGAATACTATGGCTTTTATGGAAGAGGTCATAAAAGAGGATGACAAAGTTTCGCTGACAAAACTACAGGATTTCGAAGCGGAGCTAATTCGAAAGCGTCAATCAGAGGCAGCCAAAGTAAAACCAAATACTGATGCTGTTAGGGTGAAACATGAGCCGCTAACAGAGCTGCCAACTCCTTTTGGTAATGAATCAACCAAGTTGCCAGCTGACTTTGAAATGGACGATGACCAGGAAGATGCAGACGAGGAGGAGGAAATATTTCCTCGTCCCATTGTAGTCAAACAAGAACCCGAATTAAGTTTAAAGCAACGCTACAATATTACTTGCCCACAGTGCGAAAAGGTAAATGGCTTTTACTTTTCTCCATTTTCATTGTTTCATATACATATATTTCTTACAGTTTATCACATTTATGGGCACGAACTTGAATGACGAAAAGATACAAATGTATCTAAATAATTGCAGACACGAACGGGAATTCGAAAACAACACACCACCCGGCTTTTGGAACCCGCACATGGTTTCGTTTACGGCTGAAGATCCACGCAGCAAAGTTCATGTTGATCGTCGCTTTGTCGAAGGACGAAAGAAATAAGACTTATAGATGGATTTTAATAGCCATTGGCAAATGCTTTATATTTCTATGAACATATCATTACATCTTAGTCGTAAGTTACAAATTGCCACGTTTGGCCTGTTCGATCTCAATCGCAGTGAAGAGCGACTTGAAGTTGCCGGCGCCGAATCCCTAGAATAAAATTGATAATTAAACACCAATCGAATGACGACTGAATATAAATCTTACATTGTGATTGAAACGCTGAATGACCTCCAGGAAGAGCGTTGGCCTGTCCTGGCAATTCTTCGTAAAGATCTGCAACAGGTAACCATTCTCATCGAAATCAACCAGAATGTTCAGTTTCTTCAGTATCTCCATATCCTCCTTAATTTTAGTGCGACTGTGCGACAGCTGCTCCTGAAGTATATCATAGTACGACGGAGGAATGGTCAAGAACTCCGTGCCGCGTGCCCGCAAGTTAGTCACAGCTCCAATAATATCATCTGTATTGAGCGCAATGTGCTGCACACCTGCTCCGCCATAGTAGTCCACATACTCTTGAATCTGGGACTTCTTTTTGCCATTGGCTGGCTCGTTGATGGGCATCTTCACAGTCTCCTCGTAGTTGGCCATGACGATGGAGCGCAGCGCCGAGTATTCCGTGTGTATCTGAGAATCGTCCACAGACCAGAAACGATGGAACTGCAAAATGCGCTCATACCAAGCAGCCACGCTCTCCATTTGCAAGTCCGGCTGATTGCCCACCACATGATCGATGAAGTTCAACTTTGCCGGCGGCAGATGTTCCAGCAGCACATCCTTAATGCCGCGCTGAAAGCCAGGCAAAAAGTCGCCCTTGTAGCCATTGCGCTCCACAAAAGTGTGAGTCGTATCGCCGTACTGCAAAAAGAGTAAGAGAATTTTAATTTTGTGTTATGAATTATTTAATTTAAACTCGACAACTTACCGTCTTAATGGTGGCAAATCTCACAAAACCCTGGTCATCGCTCTCCTCCCAAATATCGCGCACAACTTCAGCGCCACGGGAAACCGCCAGGTTAAAGATTGCATTCAAATCCTCCACTTCGAAGGCCACATCCTTGACACCGTCACCGTGGCGCATCAAGTGCAAGCCATGCTCCTCGTTATCGGTCTCATACGCCGATACAAACACAAAGACAATCTTGTTCTGGCGCACAGCATGCTTCGCATAGCGTCGCTCGCCCGTCTCCAATCCCTGATAGCCAAGTGGTTCAAAGCCCAATCGGGTCGTATAATAGCTGGCCGCCTGCTTGGCGTTGCCAACGTAAAACGTTAGATGATCAAAGCTTAAGAATTTTCCGGCTTCTGGCTAAATACGAATCATAGGTTAATAACTCCGATCATTGATTAACATATATATGAATTACTTACTTTGGATCCTTTGTCAGTATAGCTGGTCTGTAGATAAAAATAAGAGCAAAAGAAAGTAATAGGTTTAGTTTGACTGACTAAATATGCAGATTTAGGTAGACATAAATTATATTTTAAGTGACGATCATCATATTTAGCTTGGTATTTCCTTAGTCATTCATAAAAAACACTTTCATAGTGAGTTCCTTCACTTTGTCGGATTATATAACTACTCTTGGCATATTCACAAGCAAATCTTTACCATTATCACTCAGACTCAATTTATGCAAAACTCTTCCTCACACGCGTTATATAAGGTTTCTTCTGTAGACTTCAGCTGCGATCCGTAGATCTTCACAAATACACTATGGCCACGGCACGTTGAAATCTGGCCTTATATAGGCCCACATCTCGGCTGATCTTGTTGATCAGTTGAAAATCCTGCTCATTTAAATATATGTCAAACTAGTATTCTGTTTACGAGTATTAAGAATCTAGCTGTTTTTCTTATTGTTGCTAATCATTAATATATTCGCATATTTAATTACAAATTGCAGAATTTGTTTACTGGAACAGGTGCTGTGACCTGTTATCATCAACTGCATATTATTTGTTTATTTGTTTATCGCAATTACATTGCAAGTTCTATTATTAATGTTTTGAGCGTAGCTTCGTCTATAATGTTGTTGCTCTAGTAAATTTCTTTCCCTTTGCCCAATGTAAACTTTGATAATTATGCAAAGCACCCGAATCGTTACTGATATCCAGTCGTTGTATTTCTTTTTTGCTTTTTGGATTTTTTAAAACAATTTGCCGGCTGGCGCTTAAATATTCATAAGCTCTACAGGTTTGCTGGGGTAATAGAAATACATATATATATATATATATATCTTTTTGTGTGTGTGTGTCAGTGTGTGCTTGTATGTATGCATTTGCCACGCGCTCGTTGCCAAGTTGTATTGAACTGGCTTCTGTTGCGAGCCCCCAAAATGATTAGTATACGACTATTAAGAATACGAAATGAGCTATGATATTTGTATTAATAAAATGTTTATTTTTGTATGCTTGAATTAAAATATTTTATTTTGCTTAAACAAAACTTGACAAGAATTCAAATAAAAACTCTTAAGTTTCTAAATAGTGGAACTATGGCATGTAAAATATTCTACATTAACGGAGAATATGATGGTAACTTTATATATATATTTGTATATTACATATCTAAAATATAAGTTTCTCGGAACTGCATACGCTGCTGATTATTTGCTGTAGATTTAAATTTACAATTAATTTCATTTTATTGATATAAATATATGCATACATACATACATATATTCCACATTGCTTTTATGCTCGTTTCTCATCGAGATTACAAATGTGCTTTTGCTCGCTCAAACAGTTTGTTAATGGCCCCATTCGCATTTGCTATCATATGCGGCAACAGGCGCTACCCATGGATACCCTGTAACCTCCGGCAGCTGCCCGCGACTATGGCCCAGGTTGTTGCTGCGAGTAGCTGCCCTAATAAGCCAATCATAATAAATGTCAAGCATCGAATTGGCTTCGTGCCAATGGCCACTTGTGTGCTCGCCATCCACTGGCTGGAATCAGAGCACTGGCCCACCTCCTAAAGATCTGTCAGTTCATCATTAGCTAGTCGCCAGCAGCAACAGCAGCATCAACTGGGGTCCTCATTGTCTGGGGCTAATCGTTAACGCTTAACTGCTCGAGCTGATGCGTTGCTCATACGCCATATGTGCTTTGGTATTTCTATAGATTCTATAGCCAAATCGAGACGAGTGCGTTATTTATGAGCAGGGGCAGCTTTAGCTATTGCCCAACACCTGACACAGTCCGACTGCTCGTCATTTGTCAAGTGATGGAAGGGCAWGCAGAGCAGAGCAGACAGCTGGAACATTTAGATCAGGCAAATAATTGACCTATCCCAAGTGGAGGAGAAGTGACAAAGTAAACTACAAAAGTAAAGAAAAATTGATAAATAGGCTTCAAAATATAATTTAATATATATGTAAGTAACCATGCCGTAGTCCTGAACTGTGGGCCCATTTTATTTAGGTATGTTTTATATCTTCATCAATATATTCTAATAAAAAATACTCATTTCTATAATAAATAAGCTTGTCAAGCCCCCTGAAACCAACATTCATAATTCATAATCCAGATTTCTCTCACGCCAATAACTCAATCAAACGTAATTAACTTTACCTTTGGCAATTTCTTGCCAGGTCTTTTGCCGTCTGCACACACATGCTGTCTGTCATCAATCAGGCATTGCTCGTCCTACCCAAACACTATGTAATATATATTATATATATATGTCTATCTTCCATCTCACATTCTGCAAACCTAAACAAACTTTCTGCTTTTGCATTCAATATCTGTGACTTGCTGTCCTTGGCGAAGGTTTTATTCCTTCTTTGTTTTGCGCCGTTGCGCAGGTTTGTTTGGGTTTGATGTGGGTAGCCTGTTGCTTATGATAGGAATATTATATTACACACGCTACCGTTAGCTTGTCTGGCCCTTGCTCCCTTCTCTCTCGCTCACTCTCACTAGCTCTCTCTCTCGCTCACGCTCTCTTACTCCGTGTTAAGGCATTGCCAGCTGTAAGCAAAGTCTGCTTGCAGGGGTTGCTTTCCTTTGGGCTTGAGAGGGTGCAAGGTATATGCCGCAGGACTCAGGACAAAGGATATACGAAGTTGTTGCCATAGCCGCAAGCTGTCGGCGCCGCATCGTCGCGTCGTCTAGTGCGTCACGCTTTCAGTCGCCTTCCGAATCTCGTTTATTACGCTACGCTTAAACAACAACAAAAAATCTCGGAAAAAAATCAACAACAAATTGTTTATTCCATTTAAAAAGCAGGGTAACAATAACAATAACAATTATAAATACAAAAACAAATTATGCACGTTTTTTTTTATTTATGCTCTATTATCATTGAAAACCAAACGAACTTGAACTGTCGCTAGTTTTGTAACAAAGTAAAAAAAAAACACAAGGGGAAAAAACTGAAAACAGAAAATTGAAAATCGTTTGTTAAAAAAAGAAGAAAATATTGACAAATTTGTGCTCTGATTAAAATCTTAAGAAACGAGTCTATTGCCAAAGATAAATCCCCCGCAGCTAGGCAACAATTTAAAAATTCAAGCATTGAGAGCATTTTAATGTAGTTTCTGCTCCATGGGCCCAATATAAATAGTTTTCAATATGATATACTTTACATATGTATATACCTATATAGATATATGTATATTTAGGCCGATTTGCTGATTGATTGTTCAGTGTGAAAATGATCATAAATTTTAGTGTTTTGTCTTATTCTGAAGGAAAAGTTGCCATGGCGCGTCGAAATGAAATACAATTTAAGCCAGCTGCTATGGGTGCTTTGGCAGTGCTTCGCAAACTGTACAGATGACTCACAAACTGTGAAATCGCGCGCGTTTTCAAAAACGCGTTGTTTGTTGTGCGAGAGGCGCGCGTTTGCTAAATGAAATAATTTTTAAAATTTTTAAGAAATAATAATAATTATAAAATATAATTATTCATGAGAAAAAAAAAAAATATTTTTGTAGGTATAGAAGACAGCATTATTAGTATATATTATATATACATTCTCATTTTGCGTGTCATATGAACATTCTTGC